TGATATTTCTAAATATGTCACTGAGATTAAGCTACAAAACTATGATATAAAAGTGACGCCTTTGCCGGGTGGCAGATTTGGCCTCTTAACGCGCAGGGTCATTTATCTTATTAATAGAATGGTGTTCATACAAGTTAAGTTAATAAAAAATAAATACGAACTAACCAACCCTTATTCTATTATATGAATATAAAGCTACAATTTGTGTTCTTTTCAAAAAAAATTTTTTTTCTTTATATCAGGGTACTTTTTTTTAATTTTCAATTGTAATTCTATTTAGATAACAGCATTGTATAATCGGATTAGCCGGTGGAGACCTTGTACTGATTTCTGGAGAAAGAGAAAGAAAAAAAAAATTGTAACCAGTCATTTATTAATTACTGCTCTTAGGCGTACATTTCAATTCAAGCAGAAATCATTTGCAATTAAAGGAAAATACTTAAAACCATTTCTAATAGAACTTGTCTTGTTGGTTGAAAAAGAAAAGTAAAGACGATCTGATGAAGTCTTTTCCATTTCTTCCTGTCATGGTAAAAAAAGAATGAATAAGTATTTCTTCTAAAAAAAGACACATTCTTTTTAGGAAGTCTGCTTAAGTTTATTGCACTATTGTTTCTCAAACTAGAAATGGTTGAATGAATTTCTTTTTTTTTCGTAAATAGATGTAAGTAACTTTTGTTATTGTTTCACGAAAGTAGATCTCATGAACTTTGTTAAGAATGAACAATTTCTGATACAAATAGTACAATTTTATTCTTTTGAAGGATACTGTCCAGCCATCGAAGTTAATCGGTGGTAACTTGATGAATACTCGGCAGGCTTTCTTACAGCAGTGGCGCCAGGAAGTTTTCTTTAAATAGACTTAGTTTTTCTTTTTTTTTATTTACAACATTATTAAAGATAATGCAATCTTTTCTTCATGGAAATATTCTTACAGAAAAACTAACGAGGGAACATATCCAACTGTCGGACGCCGTTCTAGGCCATATTTTGGCTACTAGTAGGACTCAGCGAGACTAAGAAAACCCTAAAAGGGTTCGTGCCCATGACGTGTTCCTGGCGAGATATCAAGTTTTTAGTGAATTTTCTCTGTAGCATCTCACTTTTGCAGCAAAGCTATATTTTCGAATTCTGACGTGAAACTTTGCCTACATAAAGGCCTCAGCTAGACTAGCTTGCATAAAAAATTTCAGAAGTTTTGAACAAAGTCTCTTCGAGATACCAAGTATTCAAAAAATGTATGCTTTATATAGTATCTACGAAAAAAGGGTCTGTGTCTTGATAGTTCGGTATCTCGGAGAGACTTTGTTCAAAACTTCCGAAATTTTTTATGCAAGCTAGTCTACCTGAGGCCTTTATGTAGGCAAAGTTTCAAGTCAGAATTCGAAAGTATAGCTTTGCTGCAAAAATGAGGTGCTACAGTGGAAATTTACTAAAAACGTGATATCTCGCCAGAAACACGTCATGAGCATGAGCCCTTTTACGGTTTTCTTAGTCTCACTGAGTCCTACTAGTAGCCAAAATATGGGCTCGAACGGCGTCCGACAGTTGGATATGTTCTCTCGTAAGCAAATCATTAACGACAACGACAACTAGATGATTCACCGATGTCACAGGTATTATCTATCTAACTACATGTCAGTGTCCTCCTCGTCGATATTTGACATTCGTAGCAGTGCCAGTTAACTAAACTGTCATATCAATATGTTTGAAAACAATATCAAATTAAGTTCGACACGATTTTCATTTCGAAAGTTTGTACAAGTCCCATTTCAAATAAGAATTGTATTCACAATGAGTTAAGTTTCGATTACATATAACTATTTTGGTATCGTCGAGGATATAAATAACTTTGTAAGCATATAAAAACTACTTTTGATGACGGTTGTGAAAATACACAGTGTACCTTTTATTTCGTGAACAATAAAACAACGTAACGAATTTATATATATATATGTTTCCTTTGTTTGTTGCATTTGTCTCAGTTGTTTAATGACCTTTCTTTCATAAGTAGGTACTATATAAAACTTTTCCAATCTCGATCAAGAAGCATGTCAAATGCACACAAAAATTTTAAAAAATTGCGTTGAACTCAGACATTTTCTAAACGAGTTCAGCTCACCTGTAGCATCGTCGCTATTGTTTTCTGATTGCCATTTTATCACAGTACACCGACAGTTATTCTGTGACTGACAATCTACTGCAGGTATGAATTCAATTCTTTTGGATACTGTGACATAACAGTCATAGTACGAACAAATGCACACCAAAGGTGGTAGGTTATACGAAATATCTACGATATAATTAAGAACTTTTTATTTATTGCTAATCTTTCGAGAATTCTATTAAAATTTTCGATTGTTTAAAAATGAATTATTATTAAAAAACGGCTTGTACCATGAGTTCAAACTTTAAAAAAAAATTATTGTATGGAAAATTTCTTCGAATGAAAACACAAGAAAAAAAAATTATACTTCTACATGAATATTGTGCAACAAATCTTAATAGTTAAGAAAACAGCACTTATTATTCAGAAAATGATGACTGATTTTAATGATTGACAAAGATTATTATATAAAAAAAAAAAAAAAAAATTAAAATCTCTTCTAATCTTATCGTAAAATTATACAACTCATTTATGTCATTGTCAGATCGAATTTTATATGATTTAAATACTTGTCAATATTATGAGATGCATAGAATTGACATTTTGAAACATATTTATCTTTAATAATATGTCATTTTACAGATTGTTTTTCAATGTATCCATTGTCGAAACGTTTGACTGATATGTCAAATATATCTAAATATTACTTGCAAGCGTATTTCAAATATTTAACATAAAGAAAGAAAATTACGTATCCGATAAAGTTTCATATAAATCAATAAAAAACATAATATCACCTTCGATTCTCAATTCTGAGCATTCATGAATATTATATTCTATATTGTTTCTATTATTCTTCAAAAAAGATAACCAATAATAATTTTTTTTTTCTATAGGCGCATAATAACAAAACTTGCAGTAGACAAAAATACGAATAAATCATACAAGCACGCTATACAAGGTTGAAAGACAATCAACAAAAAAAAACAACACCTTTCTGTCAAATGTTTTTTTTTTTCTTTTTTTGTTGGCACGTATAATAAAATATATTATTTTAAATTATAGAAACCAATTTTTTTTTCTTAAAATAAAAATAGAATATAATAACGTATTGTCATCACCGGGTCGTGATCGCTAATAAAAAAAAGTGAAATAACTATGCTATTTCTTGATTAGATTCAGTTGTAGGTGGTACTAATGTTGTTGTATTATTTTCGGATTTAGTTGGGCGTATGACAATATAATGAAGTAAATCGGATAATGAAAGTATACCAATAACATGTTGATCATTATCAACAATAACTAAACGATGTACTTCAGCTTTAACAATACGTTCCATACATGCTGATAATAATTCATGTTTATAACATTTTGCAACAGCTTCAAAACGTTCTTTTCGATATGATAATGCTTCATTTATTGTCATATTTAAATTTCGATAACTTTTATCTGGTGCTAAACCCTAAAGATTTTTTAATTCGAAGGAAAAAAAAACAAATTAAAATCATAAAGAAAAATATAACTTTATATTTCAAACTTACAATAACATCAAATTTTGAATAAATATTAACTAATTTTCTATCTTTATCAACAACAGGTAATGCTGATATACGACGTTTTACAAAATAATTTAAGGCTTCAATTACTGTTGTAGTTTCTTCAATCTAAAATTTACAATAAAAAAACAATAAAATTTCAATTATTTAGATAAAACATACTGTAATTAAATTATCATAAGTTCCAATTTTTAATTCTTCTAATGTTTTCGACATAAATGAAGGTTGTGGCCAATCATAAATCTATAAAAAAAAAATTAAATTTTTTAAATTTTATTTTATCAAAAAAATCTACTTACATATAAATAAAAGAATCTTAATATTCGTTTATGAGTTAAAATAAATACAGCATTGTTTGTTATTGGATCAATAATAGGTAATCGATGAACATGATTTTCTAATAAAATACGTACAGCTTCAAATAAACTAAAAGAAAAAAATAATAAAAATTTCTTTTTTTTTGGTTTTTAAATTAATCTTTTTTTTTTCTTTTTTACCTTTCACTTGGTTTAATAGATAGTAAAGGTCTTTCATATTCTCGTAAAACATCTCTCCATGTTTCAATTCTATGTTCTTCTAATTCTTCAATTCGTGCATGTGGTTCTTTATAATATTTCTGCAGTATAAGAATAAAATCTGTTATTGTTAATAAGCCAATAAATTTTTGTCGTTTCGTATCCCATAATGGTGCTGCACGTACACCGTTATAAACAAGAGCAAAAAAAGCTTTTTTTACAGCTAATTGAGTATCAAATACAACAAGTTTAGAACTTTTCGGCAATATATCATAACATGTATTATATTTCATGAAATGTGTATAAATTTCATCATCACTGACTAATAACAATAAAAGAAAAAGAAAAGAATAGAAAATAAAATTATAAAGATTCTTACTAAATGGTTCATCACCATCATGAGTAGGTGAAGCAGACTAAAGAAAATCAATGAAATAAATTTAATATATATATATATTATTTATTAAAACGAACCGATGGACGAATACAATATGTTGGCGGTTGATCTGATGATGAACTATTTCGAGTAATTATTGTTTGACCAGAAAATGTTGTAACTCGAGTTCGAGTTGTGCCACTCATAGAAGTTGGACTTTGTGTTCCTGAGAGTACATAATTACTATAAAAAATTCTTTTTTATGTAATCTTACCACTTCTATTAGGATCTTGGAAAAGTGACTAAAATTGAAAAATAAACACAAATCTTTTATGTAAATAAAATAAAAAAACAAAAAAAAAAAATAGCAAGCACCATAGCAAAAAAAAGAGCAAGCAAGCGAGCAAACGGTATTTTTTTCCTCATCGTCGAACATCTCTTCTTTTTTTTTTCCTTACTAATATTGATGCATCTTTGGATATATGCCAACTATCTGCGAATGCAATAAACCTCGCCAAAGCACATGAGAGACATTGAACGGAAGGGCAGAAAGAGAGAAAAATAAAGAGAAAGAACAAGAAAAAGAATTTCATGCTAAAAAAACAGATATAATAAATGCTTAATATATAGCGGATGACATACCATTAAATTGCTTGTTCCACCAGCAGTTGCTTTTTTATTTTGTTGTTGAAGTCGACCGATTGCTGCTTGTATTCGAAGATCATCACTACCTTTTGACAACCACTTATGATAAGAAATTGAAAAACCCGTCGGTGCCGATGACATTGATGCATAATATTGTGAATCTGATGTAGGTAATGTCACAAGATGTGTAGTTGCCTTTGACTTTTTTCCAGAACTACTATTTGTTCTACTTCCAAATAAAGTCGTAGTAGAACTAAGGCTAGTATTTATAACATCATCTTTTTCATCAAGACAATCCGTATCTGACAAAGAACCAGTAGAAATATTTGGATCATTATCATCACATTCTTCTTCTTCATTGATTGTTGATCGTCCATGATCTTTTGATAATGATGATTGAGTAATAAGATTCTGTCGTTTTTTATTTACATCTATATTAATTGATTTTGTTGTTGTTGTTATTAATGTTCCCAGAGGTTTTTTAGGCTTTTTTGAAAATAATTTTGAAAAAAGAGACTTATCAGATACTGATTGTGAATCACTGTTTGAACCAGAACGAGTACGTCGATTAGAACGTTCTTTCATTGATGATGGTGATGAAGAAGCAGAACTTGTTAAATTAGATTTTCCAAGTGGTAATCTTAATGGTGAAACAGGCACAGCAGTATTTGCATATGGTGCAAGAGCAGCAACAACATTTCGTTGATCAGAATCATCATTTGTTTCATTATTAGCAGCAGAAGCAACAACAGCAGTAGCGCCGCCACCAGGACCAGAAGTATTATTTGGTCTGTGAGATGATACTCCAACAGAATTAGTCAATACTACATTCGTTTTTTTATCATTTGTATTACTACGCGAAGAAAATACAGCTTGTAGACGAGCTCGTTTTGATGTTGAATCAGTATTTGTTTTACTCGATGATCGTGATCGATCTATATCGGTTTCATCAAAACTACCAGCTGTAGCATTAGCTTCATTCTAAATTATGTGTGTATGTATGTGTTGATGTGTGGTTATTGTTTTTTATAGTGAAAGAAAATCAATCTATGTTTGTATTATTTTCTATCTGGTTTCTATTTGAACTTACCATATCTTGGACTGTATCAATTAATACTAATATTCCTATCAAATAAGTATTGGCTGTTGTAATTTCGATGGGTTTTTTTTTTCTTGTAGTAGAATAAGGATAAAGGAATATATTATTTATGTTTATTCGATAGAAACACTGTATTGCTATTGCCTCATGCTTTTTTTCTTTCTTTGGGAGAAAAAAAAACGCTATGTACGAAGTTTCAGCTCTAGCGACAAGGAAAAAAAGAAGAAAAAGAATATGATGTAATTACGTTTACTTCTTTTTTTTCTCGTCTATAAGACTCGTTTAGATATGTAGAATGCGTAATTTGCTGTTCTTTATTTCGATACTTTCAAACGAAAATATCGAGTCATAAATGAAAGATACATACCTTTTTCTCTTGTGATTTAATCATTGTAAATGTTCAATAAAATGTTATTGAGAAAGAGACTTTTGTTTTTTTTTCTTGGTTTTTTTTTCCTCGAATAGTGTCGTCTATACCACATGTAGGAAGGTTGTATACTCTATGGGGGGAAAATCGGATGTACTTTTTTTTTCTCTTTGGCCTTTAATACATCTACATTCATCGATGGGTGTCTTGTTTTTCTGTCGTGTATATAGACGATGAAAAAAAAAACATTCTCTTTTTCTTGTTTCAGATCCAAACGACTAGTTTCCGAGTATAATTATAACAAGAAATAAGAAAAGACAATGAAGAACAAAAAAACAACTCACTCGAGTAACATGCATCGTATCTAAATGTTGAATAGCATATAGATCAAATAAGAAGTTCTACCAAAAAAAAACACAATTACTAATGACGATCAGTCTATGTCACTTTCAAGTTTGATGTTGATGAAGAAAAATAACTGACGTTATTTATTTTACCGATAGGATGTTATATAGACGTGAAAGAAAGAAAGATTAAATTTGGTATAGAAAATCGATCATGCGGAAACGAAAGGAGAAAAATCGAGAAACATGATTCATGTAATAACAATACTTTGAGTGTTACTATTGACTTGCCATACTAATGATACTAAAGAATCCATTATAGTTACCAACTGATTTCAAATATAAATAGCATCAATAAGTCAGTACAAAATACAAATCGTACCAATTAATATTTTCTTTATGTTTCGCTTATAGTATTCATATCACGCTCATAGATGAAGAAAAATAGGGGGTGGGAGCAGGGTCACTTATTATAAACTAGAATAATCCAAAGCAAGTTTTGAATTATATTTCATAAGAAAAAAAAACCTATGAAATGATTTGATTGAAATTGCATTTAAATTATTATGTTTATTCTAAATTTAGTACAAAAATAATATCTTTTAGTTTTTGATGAATCTCATTATTAAAAAGTACTTAGTGTTAAGAAAAGTTTTGATTATAAATGTTTATCCAAGAAGAAAGAAGAAATAGTATAAGATTCAATTTCATAATCTAATTTATTCATATAGGATTCAAATAATTTCTTTTCCATCAGAAAAAAATTAATTCATTGTTTGCTTTTGATTAATATCTCATGCCTGAGAAACTTTCAAGAGTGGCATCTATTAAATTATAATGTTTTGAGAAGGTAATATATTATTTTATAAGTCGCCTGACTATTTCTATTTCTATTCCTTGGGTTTAATAAATTATCTATATTATACGATTGCATGTCATTAATAATAATTATATAGAACCGAAAAAATGCTCGGAAATGAAAGAAAAAAATTTCCCTGGATGTATAAAATCTCGAAGATAAATAATATGATTTCATATAAAACTAGTGTAGTGAAAATCAAACTAGCAACAAACTAAATGATATAATCAGATTTTGATAAAAAAATATTGAAATTGAGGTTTCATATGACATAATAAGTTTTTGACTAAACAGATACATCCCTATTTTAAATTTTGTAATATAATACAAAATAAATCAAAACTGATAGCCGTCCTCTCTCTTTATGTTTTCTTATGAAAATACTTTAGAATAAAAAGAAAAATAATACGTGTCAATCTTTTATCATTAATCTTCATTTAGAAATCTAAATCATTGTCAAAATGGATTAAATTTATACTTAATAGCTAACAAGTCATTCGTTAATATATCTTTAAAATATAATGATATTACTTTATTATATAATCATATTAATACGTATTGTTTTTTTTACTCTACACTATATTAATGATACAATAAAAAAATAACTACACATATTGGTCAGGTGACTAGAATGACAATAATACTGAATGACGTCATTTAGTAAATATAAAAGAATTAAGTATCTATCAAAAGTTCAGTTACAAAAAGTTTCATAAAACTCTTAAATATACTCGAAATAAATACATGATTAAAAAATGATCTATGACAAGACATACATACACAATTTACTTCACATATATTCAGCTTTTGATTTATGTAAATTTTTTTTTTTTTTTTTTTTGATATTTTATGTATTTTTCTACTTAAGTGAGCAATTGATAAAGAGCGAGCAAGCCAACAATAGCATTACGATAAGAAAATCTCATAAAATCATAATACTTTTTTTTATATTAATTTTTGAGTTTACCTCATATATTGTTTCAAGATCTTGTCTTTCAGGTGTTGAAAATAGACGAGGTCGACCATTTACTGGAAAATTAAATGTATTTAATACTGGAGAGAAAGTAGAACGTTTATCACATGTCATTGATAAAAAAATTGCACCGATCTTAATCGAATAAGAAAAACTGATTGATTTTTTGAAAACAGTTAGTCAGTTCACAGAGCCACAAACATGTGCACGGAAACCCACGTCGATTGTGCGCTTTTTATACTGTAGCAGTTACACCTTATTCTTCTTGTTCTCTCGTTTTTCACGCCCAACAACTACTTCTCTCAGTCACTTAATAAAGCAAGAAACGTTGCCTACTGGCGTCGTTGTCATCGCAGCTATCGTTCTATTTGTTTTTATCTCAAAAAAAAACGAAGAAGAAGAAGAAGAAGAAGAAGAAGAAATTATGTGAGGTGGTAACAACAGTACTAGTAAAAAAAAACCAATGTTATCGTATAGTTTTCATATGCACAACACACTCATTATTTTTTCGACGCCATAACCTATATCTATCAATTTATTTACATCAACTACTTGTTTTTTTGGATAACTTTCCTTTTCATTCGTTTTTTTGTCTCTGATGCCTCGTCATCTTATCGTTCTCAGCAATATTAATTACAAACTATGACCATACTGCGCCAGAAACAACAGAAAAAAAAACACATATTGATATAATATCAATATTTGATAAGAAATGATTTAATATGCATCATAATAGATTCATACAGTTTGAAAAAGGTTTTGTCATATCTGTAACAGATTGAAAACAAAAGTGCACATATTTTTCACTTCGATATAATACATTTTTTTATTCCTTTCTGCTTACATCCACAGATATCCAGGGTTTTGCGCAGCTGGTGTTATTTTTGTTCGTCTTTTCTTTATTCTTGTGATTGTCACTAGTCATTGTCTAGGTCCCCTAAATGACTTTTCTTGTATAACTTAATTACGCACACTGTTGACTTGGCACAAATATAGCAGCAAAATAAACATTAATATCTAGATATATATATACAGATGAATACACTTACTTCATCAATAGTATCAAGTTCAGCATCATTATCTAATCTATCAAAGTATTTTTTTTCCGGTGCACTAAAACGTCGTGTTCGTCGAGTAAAATTAAGAATACTTTTGGAATTGTCACTAATATTTTTGAAATTGAAAAACTTTCGTGTAGGTGAAGTAATTACTGATTTAATCTGTTGTTCTATATTATCATGTTCTAGTGTATGACGACGCATAATGATTGTTGTAATTGATGTTGTTTTATTTCTGTTGTTCAAACTTTCGGTTAACTAATTTATTTGTAAGACATAAAAGAAAAGAAAAAAAAAAGTAACTGAATAAAACAAAACAATTTCCATTCAAAGTATGTATGAGGAGCAACAGAATGTAATTATAAAGTGAACTTCTCGAAATAATAAAAATAGAAGTTCGAAGATTGACTAATTATTCATGTAAAAGAAAAATAAAGAATAAACGGATTAAAGACAGATCTGCTCCCTTGAGTAATGCAAGTGACGTAGATGAATAACATCATCTTTATCTTTTATGTTCGTTTGATTCCCCTACTGAGTATGTATGTATGTATATGATGTTTCTTATTTGTAAAAGCAAAAAGTTATAAGAAAGAAATTCAGAGAAAAGAATAAAAGGCAAAGTTTTGTCGACATTTTTTTTTCTTCATTTAACTATTCTGCAAAAACAACAATAACAACGGCACGATCTCTTCATGCAATCACAAGTATGATGATTGTGATTGGTATTTTCAATGCATAGTCCATTAATGACGTAGTTGGATAAAAATAATATGCACAAGTCGATGACATGTCTAAAGATAGAAATAATGAATTATTAGTACACTATAGTTTGTTAACATCCAATTAGACCATCGAATAGAGAAGAAAGAATTTATGTCATAGGATCTATTTACCATAATATTAACAAGTGAAGCAGAAAAGTATTCAATAATTTACATAGTTTATAGTGTATTTTAATGATCTGTATCATGAAACAATGTATGAAATCATTTTACTTATTTTAAAGTTTATTGCAATCTAATTAAGACTTTACAGCGGGTACTATTCTATCTTTAGCTAATGATGATGTCGTTTTAAGAAAAAACAAAATGAAAACAATAAAAAATATTTTTATAAGTAAATATTTTGTGTTAACGCAGTATTGCTCAAATAAAAAGCAGAACGGATGAATAAATATTACTAATCAAGGTTTTTTTTTTTTTTTTTTGATAAAAGTACTCTAATGTTCTGCAATGATTCACATAAATCACAATCCTGATTCTATACGAAAAAATATAACGCTATGTAATCATATCGAAAATAGATGTGAATTGAAAATATTATTTGATGATGGAAAATTAATTTTATCCAAGTGGTTTTTATTTCTTGTCTATTGATTAATTATTTATCTTCATACGTAACAACATCTGTTATCACATTATGTCCAAGTAACATTTCTTGCTTTCTGGTTGACATCCTCTAGCTTATGAGCCATTTCAACAACATCAAATTTCACATATCCTGTTGATATAAATTATTAAGATTCAATAAATACTACTATTAAGAATGTTATTTTAATTCTAACTTAATAGAACAAGAACATTTACAACAAATAAAAACTTTAAAATTGTATGAATGACTAACATCATCAAGTGTAACTGTCAAGATAGAAAAAAATACATTTTAATTTTATTTTATTCACAGATGGATTTAGTAGAAATTATAATGTAGATATTAAAAAACAAAACACTTAACAATAATTCTATATCTTCAATTTTCTCTGTAGATAACCGTGCATTGAAGTTCAGCGACAGATTCAAATCTAAACATTAAATAAATCATCAAAAATTATAATTTCAATTATAAAATGTTTACTCTCAACACTTCATGTTACGTTTTATGAACGAGCACCCGACGACAAAGATTATGATCATGTATGATTCTAAACATTCGAAAATACGTCTGTTGTTGTTGTATCATTTGACTTTGGAATTACGACCGGTTTTCATTGTATTGTATATAACATCGTAGATCATAGTCGTCACAAACTTTTCCACAATGAAACGAAGGACAACTTTCTATTTGCACTTATGCCTTCTCTTATCATCTCATAAGTGCAACAGGTACTATTAATTTTTTTTAAATAAATACTTACCTTTGCATTTGCTGCTGAATTGATAAGATAAAAACTATACTTAATAAATCACGACTATATACGATTGTATACATGAGTCTTATTGGAATATATAACGTCGTGTTCGTTTATCGAAGATGTTTGTTGCACGTGACTAGCATTTTTCAATACAAATCGTTCGGTATGATTGTTTACAGTCATACCTTGTCAGCCTAGGATGATACATCTGTCAGTTCGCATGTGAATTCAAAAACACAAGTGTTAGTCTACGTCATACTGATAAAAGCAAGAGGTTTCTGTCGGTCAGAATCATTGAGTACAACAAGGAAGTTATCAAAGATTTTTCATCGCAGCATAATAACCAGTCAAGAGAAAGATCAGCTCTCTGCAACATTTTGAAAATTTTCAGGACGTATCTATTTGTGTCTAACTGCATACTAAATGAGTTGACAAAAGAGGACTTTATAAATCGTTCAATAACAAACAAGAATTATTTGAATTCATATATCACAAAAAACTTTTGATCTGTCTCTTGCAATATCGATTAAGAGTTTAATCTTATCCACTATACGAGAGAAATGTGTAAATTTTCAAACGTTAAATAAGTACGAATAATTTTTTGATATATGACATTGAAAACTAAAAAGTATAATAAAATATATCTTATCATTTGTTTCGTAATATTAACAACAGATTGTATAAATCTGAGCGAGATACTTTTGAGATTGCATTAATCATGTAATTGTTTTTCTTTGCATTGAAAATGCCTTCTAAAAATCATTATAATCTATTATATTGATAATGTCATTTATCCAATACTTCTTCAGTATTATTCGTAACACATTAACAAATTCTTTATTTAATTTCTCATTTTCAATCGATTCCCTGCTTAGAATTTTGCAAGTATTTCTAATAATAACATTATTCATGTATTTAAATAAAAAAAAATTCAAACCTTGACTTCATGCATTAACACGTTCCTTAAATCCATGGTTATGATTATACAGAAATATTAGTTATGATAATAAATTTCTAAATGAAGTAAACAACGAGAATATGACTTGTAGTCCATATTGAATTCTTCTATGTAAAATTTGATATTAATAAATCATTCATTTCGAAACTATTGATGTATCTAACTCGATAAAATATATCGCCTTATTACATTCTCTCAAAATAACTATTCTTATCGTATGTCATGGAGACAAGATCATAAATAGAACTATTTGCTTTATCGACATCTATTTATATCATTTAGATGTAAATATATATATATATATCTAAATTGAATAATTAATTACAGATAGCTTGTAACATAACAATTATTAAAATTGCTGAGAGTATTATGAGAAAAAAAAAAGAAACAAAAAGGAATGTATGAATTATATAGGTTAAAAAAAAAAAGAAAAAGCAATCAGACGGAATGTAGATTTTTGTTTATTTATGTTTTTTGATAATACGACAAATTTTAACGTTGTTTATTCGTTAAAATTCGTACCAGATCTTCACAATTACATCTATAACAACAAAAAAAGAAAAGAAAAAACTTTATGATTAAAGCAAAAATTTAAATGAATTCTTTTACCGTCCATCAGCATCAATATCAGCTTCACGTATTAATTCATCAACTTCTTCTTCCGTAAGTCTTTCACCTAATGATATCATAGCATGTTTAAGTTCAGCAACACTGACATAACCAGTTCCATCTTTATCAAATACACGAAATGCTTCACGTATATCATCTTCTGTTTCACGATTGTTTGTTTTAAAATTTTGTGCAACTCGAACAAATGTATCAAAATCTATTTTTCGACCAACTTGTTGTTGAATTTTTTGTAAATCAGCTTCTGATGGCGACAAACCACATGAACGAAGAACAACACCTTAATTTGTATATTAGAAAAAAAATCTATAATTTTTCTATAATATAAAATTATAATTACCGAGTTCTTGTGGTGCAATTATATCGTCATGATCTTTATCAAAGAGTGAAAAAGCTTCACGATATTGACGCATTTCATCAGAACTACTGGCCATTGCTTAAATACTTCTTTCTACGTGATCAAATCTATAAAAATAGAGTATATAAAAGATGCAAAATTTTCATAATTCAAAGATGTAACACATTTCAATGGATGAAATACATGATTATACAAATGCAAATATCAGAGAAAGTGATTGAGTTGACCGTTGATGAGTAAATAGGGCGTGAGTTTCGTAGACTATGGATCCTATTGGATATTTAACAAAACGGAAAAAGAACAACAATATGAACAAATTTATTAGAAAAAATACACAGAACATTTTAGTAAATTTTAATAGTGGAAATAATTCGTAAAAATAATTTGTTTATAGGGGTCACTAGTCGTCAGGGACAGTAACAACTGGAGATTCATCTTTTTTCATGTTGAAATTCAGGACGGAAAGAGTCAATGTGACAGAAAAAATCAGAAGCTTTGGACTGCACTAGAAAATCGAATCTTTTTTTTAATGATTGAAAGAAGGTATGACAACATTTGCCATTTATGTCGATATACAAAACCAAATTTTTCTATATTGCAGCTCTAGAAACTTGTTTTAATACTTTATAGTTCTGTACACATTTTGAATTCTTCTTCTAATTCATTAACTAACTAAGTTAAAATAGTCAAGTTTCTATAATTATTTACAATAATGTGACTATTTCGTTCTAGTGTACACCTGCTTCAGACATAATTTTACAAAAAATAATACATTTTTACAACATAAAATGTACATTTTTACATGAAGAATACATTTATATATCTATATACATTCATAGAAAAACAAAAGTAAAAAACAGACTAGGCTATTTTTTACTTTTGTTTTTTGTTTGTAAACGTGTATAGATATATGTGTTCTTCATGTAAAAATGTACTTATTGTAAAATTATGTCTGAAATAGTTGTACGCTAGAACGAAATGGTCACATTTTTGTAAATAATTATAGAAACTAGATTATTTTAAATTATGCATAGTTTCATAAAGCACTACTACTACTTTCCGTGTACTTCGTACAAAACTATATATGGTTGTGCACAATATTGAAAGTTTTTTATGTTTGTTTTTTCAATTACAAATAGTTCAAAATTTGCTTCCGTACATATCTTACTAAAGAGTATTTCTTTGTACACCAGTATAAAAATGCAACAAAGCTTACCACTAATAATAATAAGAATGAAAATAAGAATCATTGAGAAATAAGTATGCATTCGTCTCAAGAACAAATTTGAGTGAAGAAATCAAACCACAAGAGAATTAAATGGTTTATGAAGAAAACATTAAGATAACTTAGTAAATCAAGGAAATAAGCAACATAAGATAGAAAGTTAAGTGAAGAAAATGTACGGTAGTGAAAGAAATTAAAATAGTTACTTGTTAGGTGTAATTAATCAATAGGTGTCTTTGTTTAGAATTGGAGTTTAAATCAGAGCAATTAAAGGCAGCTAGAGAATGCGAGATGGTCCAAAAGTTACGATACCAAGAAGCAATTGAATATCTCGGTTATGATTCGAGCAAACGGGCTGATTTTTTTACCAATATTAGATGCGTTTTCACATTTAAAATCAATACGGACAAGATCAAAAAGAGCCTCTGTTAAGTACTAGTGATGATCTCAACAAAAAAATTTTACTTTTTCAGAGATACGAAAAAATAATGAACGATGAAGAAGGACCAGTTTATAAAGATAAAATGTAAATAATCAAATATTTTTTTGGTTACTACGTGTCGTTCAATCATATATCTTTTCTCTTTGTATTGTTCTCCTTCTGTTCTACTGTAGTCGACATCAATAGTTCAGGAGGTATAAATCTTTTTTCGTCGACATTGTTAATCATATTCATTTACCATCTTTGACTGCGTTTATTTTGTGTATTATCAGTAAGTCTTGCTCTCGTTTGTTCATCACTTAAAGCTCATATGTATGTAGATGCCGAGAGTTTTAACAAAAGAACAAAGGGTTTTTGTCCTCAAACATTGGTGGATCTTAGGAAGAACGTTACGCACAATAAATACAGTTTTTCGAAATGAATTTCCTGACAGCAGAATTTCAATTCGAATAACAATTTACCAACTAGCAAAAATGTTTGATGAAACAGGTTCTATCGATGATGCACCACGAAGTGGCTGACCTACAACAGTCACGACAGAGGAAAATATTCAAATTGTTTCTGAGAGCTTTCTTATAAATCCACAATCATCTCAATGATGTATGCTACTTGAGCTTAATATCTGACGAACAAGCTTACAACGTATTTTAAAGATCTGAATTTAAAACCATATAAATCACGGTTGTTACAAGCCTTAAACGAAGACGATCCGAATCGACGAGTTGAATTTTATGAGTGAATTTTAAATTCAATTCAAGAAGATCCAACTCTATTGGTTCGAATTGTTTGGACGAACGGAGCGACTTTTCAAACAAACCGTCATGTTAATAAACACAGCTGTGTTTATTGGAGTGAGACAAATTCACATTTTATCATTGAACAAGAGCTCAATGTACCATGAGTGGTTGTATGGAGAGAAATATGGTCAAATGGTTTGGTTGGACCATTCTTTTTCAAAGGTAATGTTACATCACGAAACTACATTCAAATGTTGAAGGATGACATCTAATCACAACTTCAAGAGCATCCAGCCTTTCAGATAATGATCTGACAGCAAGCCGGCACACCATCACACTATGGTAAAATTGTGCGAGATTATTTAGATAATATATTCTTGGAGTGGATTGGTCGTCGAGGAACTATGAAATGACCATCACGATCTCTAGAATTAACCCCTTGTGATTTCTCATTATGCGAGATCATAAAAGACCGTGTCTATGCTCAAACACTTCGTGATGTAAACCATCTGAAGTCATTAAGTGCACAAGAATTTACATCGCTTAATGATGACAATGAATTATGCCAAGCAATCTGTCGTTCTGTAGCAGAATGTTGTCAGACGTGTATCAACCAAGAAGGGAAACAATTTGAACACTTACGGTAAAGTTCTGTTCATCTTTTTTTGAAGAATATGAACAAATATATTCTTTGTGAGTGCTTCTTTCTCTAATATCAATAAAAAACTATGGTATGTTGTTGATCAGAAAAAGAAGAAATATGAGTGTGCATCTATGTATTATCTTGATAAATTGGCTCTTCTTCATCGTAGATTGTTTTTTTGTATCTCTGAAAAAGTAAAATTTTTTTGTTGAGATTATTACTAGTACTTAACAAAGGCTCTTTCTGATCTTGCTTCTATCGATTTAAAGTGTGAACATGCCTCTAATATTGGTAAAAAAATCAGTTCGTTTGCTCGACCCATAACCGAGATATTCAATTGCTTCTCGGAATCGTGACTTTTGGGGCATCCTGTATATGTGACCCATCATAATTCTGGTTCCATTTAAACAATCAAGGTAAGCTCGTGTCTCAGAGCTATATTCTTAGTGAAGTATGTGCACACAAATTTTTCGACCTATAGCATGTATGGTAGTCGAGATGCGAGAAATGAGTGGAAGACTTTTGTCCACAACTGTAGCTAATTAATTCTAAAATGTCATTGAAGTCTCATATATCTTTCAGAGTTCATTTTTCTATATTTTCTCAGGAATTTATCAATAACATCAAAAAAAAAGTTTCTATTGATCTCAATAATTAACAATCATAGATATAAATCCATCCATGCGAAATATTAATAGAATGTTTAATGATAATTTTTACATTATAGACACTTAGAACGACAAAGTATGACGCACAGAACATCTTTGAATTTGTTTTCCTTATTAATAAAATAGTATTTTTACTCCTTCTGAAAGGCACAACAATCAAAAAATCCTAGTTTCACTAGTCTACGCGCTCTCTCTATGAAAAATATTTAAGTTCCGTTAGTCGGAAGTTAAATATTTCGAATACTACTCACATTTCTTCTTAATAGTTAAATAATATTGACCATTCATCCGAGAAAAAAGACCAGAGTGCTTGTGGAGGTAAATAATTAAAAAAAACTAATTATTCCATGAAAATTCTATTGTGATATTCAAGCGTCTCCAATTTTCAAGTAAAGATCGTCATAAAAATTTTATTGTTTGTAAGTGTATTTATTTATATATCTATATTTGCAGATATATACATTTGAAATCATTTCATTTCAAGAAATAACAACATTCTTCTCCACTCATGATGGTTACCAACAATATAATCGGTTTTCTTTTTATTCTTTTGCTATGTATCGTCAATCGTAAGTGTTGTTTCTTGAATTAATTGTAGACTTTTATTTTTATTCAAATAGATAAAACTTCATCCTTTGAGAATAATGAACAAATAACAATTGAAGATCTTGTCATGAAACCTTATTTAGTTAAAGCTACTTCTTCATTAATTGATCAACATCCATCGATCGATAAAATAGGTAGTTTAAAAATTCGTTCAAGTTTACAAAATGCTCATTCGGAGTCCGGAGAAAAATATTTTAATTGGGTTAGAAAAACACAACGTAAGTAATCAGAATAACATTTATATTATAGTTTTTCATTCGATTATTAGGTCCTATGGAATTTTTACGAGGTAAACGTCAATGGTTTTTTACGAAGAGAAACAAAAATGATAAAAATGTTAATTTAATGCCTAATATAAAAACATAAAGAAGTGTATTAACACAAAGACTATGGCGGCCGGCTCCTGTTAGACATCGTTTGTCATTAGTAAAAAATTAAGAACTATTGTCACTTTTTTCTTCTGTGCTCATCTTTATGATCATAATGATGTTGAATACACTGGAAATGTCATAGAAGTTTATCTTATAAACTAAAGAAAAATATTTTGATATATTATTGTTTTGTGATGAACCTATATGACTATTATATCAATCTTTAGAAACCACTATATTTTGACAAAAAAAAAGGCATCGGTCCTTGGAGAAGTCAAATTTATTTTGTTTTACTTGCCAACACTTACTGAAGTATATGAAAACAGGGGGACAAAACAGTCAAAGGTCGATAAGACATACAAATCCTCTACGAACTTGAAGAGTAGCTAAGTATAACGGAATAGATTTGATTTCTCATGGACTCTTTTAATCTGTACTATCAAAGCTTTATTTTTATTCCATAATGGTACGAGTGAAAGAATTCTGAATATAAAAACAAATGGTAAAAGCTAACCGTAAGAATTTAACTAGATTTTACTTATACTTGAAATTAAAACTTTTCTACGCATAAAAGTATTAAAAACTTACGAGCCAGCTAAACATTTATGCTATCTTGTCCAAAAAAAGATGCTTTGAGAGACGAGTTTTTTTTTGGCAAATTTAATGAAGTGCTCAGGTTAAGAACGTACAGGTGTACATGATTATGCTTTGAAACATATAACGTGTTACTTCGTTTAACATTATGTTCACATATCTTTATGTTGTATACCATAAAATATGATCATTTAAAGAGATAAAAATGCTCAGTTAATGTCTTTGTAATCAATGATATTAAATACCCTTAGTTTAGCTTCATAGTTCTTTCTATATGATCCTATTGCTCCAGATATAGCTATGAGTATATATGATTGTACTATTGAGCTACATAAATCCGATCTGTAGAATCTATCTGTCTGTGCAAATGCATGTTGGGGAAAATTTTAGAAAAATTATTGTCTACATAAAAACTTTTTTGATGTAAAAAATGAAATAATGAGGTTTTTCTTCCGTAACAATTGGGATACGAAGTTTTTGCACAAATTGCATGATTGGTTTCTCAACAGACAACTATCAAACTGCTTTTTGTTGAATTTCTTTCACCATTCAATAGATCTTTCCTTTGATATGCTATGTCCTATATTATATTTTGTTTTACTTTCCAAATGTAGGCGATATTAGAGCATTTCATCTGCTTGCGTCATTGTTTTGGTTAACCATTCTTTGGTTTTTCATAATATGCATAAAAACCTATTTGCCACAAATTACAAATGAATTAACGAAGGCAAGGTTACAAGTTAGAAAAGCTTTTTATCCTGGTAACTTATGACTCTCTGACCTCGCTCTCTTGATGATTTCATCACGATTTGAAGCAACTAGTGCTAAGTAAACAATATTTAACATGAAAAATTTTAAGCTTTGGTTCACTTGTGATGAATCATTTCTGAAATGACTAAATTCAAGACTATTAGTATTATTTGATGATTGATGCAACTAATTAATTCTTTTTACATTAAATTATTTCAATGTGTAGTAGTTTTATTTCTCTCTTGGTTTTTTTACATATATATGTTGTCAAAAAAAATTATTTTATTTTGGCGGTAGAGAAAATTTTTAAAGAATTTCTCTTTGCTGTAGAATATTTTTTATTTTAACGGTTGCTTCTGGACCTTTGATATGAACTATTAAAATACGACCGTATAGGACGCAATATGGTTATTTACGAGCGTATGCATACGTCATATCCTTCCTCTTAAGCATATGTCATAATCAATATTTCATTTTGATAGTGTCGTTGAAAGAAAATAATATATATTTGAAGGCTACTTCAAAATAAAAAAAAACTAATAACAACCAGTCATGCATATAAATGTGGCTGTATTCTTTAAAAAAATCATGTTGTTTTAAAGGATGCAAAAAACTATTTTATGTCGCGGTGTCCCATAACGGACAATCTCAGTACCATACTATGGCGGAATAATGCGGCGTGGCACTATGACTTTCTGATCTTTAATAGTTATCTATGAAATCGTTAGTCTTCAGTATATGTTCCAATGACAATAGCACTAAACATGAAGTATATAAATAGTGACAAACGTGCTTCTTTTTTTCTTTAGTGACATGAAATTGCACTCAGTAGAGGAAAATGCATCAACAAATATTTTAATGATGTTCCACAAAACGGAAAAGAGATAATCCTTGACTGATTTTACATATAGAGAAAAGTCTATATTTGAATATTATTTAAAAAAGTAAAAAAGGAAATTTACTTAAATATATTTTTGATCTTTCAAATTTTAATAGATGTAGACATGAAATGTTTCTATATAATGGTTTGTGGATAAAGAATACGTTTCATAATTTCTTTTTTCTTTGACAATACGAAAATACTTGTAGAAAAATCATTTTGCGACCAGAAAAGTAAACAATTTTCTAGTCTACAAAAATATTATAGAATAATCATTATCATTTAAGTGGCCAATAACATAGATTAAATGGTCAGCTAGTGAAATAATTATAAAATCAGTAAATGATTTGTTAGTAAATTACTTAAATGGCAAATTATTAACTATTTACATTTGTTAATAAATTTAAAAATCAGAAAATAAAATTTATTAACAGTTAGCTAAATTGAAGGGTAAGTATAAGAATTAAAATAATCAAACGTAACTAGGAAAGAATGATTCAATTGTAAAAAATCTAAAGCTTCATATCAATGTTGAATGTAATCCTTACGTTTATGTAATAGAACAGGTGTTTAAAATGCCTAGAGCAGTTGGTTTTCCTTTATTACAGCAGATGAACCACTATATGTGTACCAGAATAAGAAAAACTCATGATAAGGAATATTTCAAAGGGGATAATGAACTAGAGAGGAAAACCATCTGTCCAATATTAACAAGAGAAAACAAACTAATCTGTGAAAGGAACGAAACAGAAGAATAAGGTCATTTGATATTTGGTATGTGACAATGGAGAATTGTTCACATGACGAACAATCAATATGCAACTGATTAGCTGTTTTTTAAAGAATTACATATGCAAACATGTTATTCATAGAGATGTAAGCCAATGTATTGATCGGCTGGAGTGATTGAAATCTTTCAAAGAATTTCTAAAACATTTTCTCAATTTCGAGAAATTTTGAAATAAAAAAGAGAAAAAAAAATGGTAGAGAACTTATTGACAAGAAATCAGACAGTAACATCACAGAAAAATTATTTGGGACGTCGAAAACTTTTAACGATCAATTATCCATTTTTTGTGTCGCGGCGACTGGAATCTTTAGTAACTATTTTTGGCAACGGTGGCTCAGCCGATCAGCTTAAGTTACTAGTCATTTGTATTGTTGTTTGTTAAAAATATTTTAATCTATGACTAGCAGCAAAGACAGTACTGATAGCTTAGAAAAGAAAAAATTACAGACCACCAAAGGCTAAATCTACTTTGCTAAGACAATAATTCCCTTTTCATTTTAGGATTTTTAATTATTATTTGATTTCCTATTAAACGCTCTTGTGAGTCTATATTTATTTATTGTATTGTTGTGTTTATTTCGATTTAATTTGCTTATACTAAATTATACTATGTACTTAGAAAACGTATTTTGAGCCGATAAAATCTGTATATGTTTCACTGGACAAATTTGTACCTTTTTTTTTTTTACTGAAATAAGGTGCCGGCAATGCAAAATTTGAGCACTCTTCATTTTTAGCGTAAACATACATCATTAGATTCAGTTTTCCCTGCTGATTACGAATACGACCTTATTCTTTTGATTTAACAAACTTTTTCTTGAGAAAAATGCAAAATACTAAGCAAGTGTCAAAATCTTCAAAAAACACCTTCTTCTGAAAAAACACCCTGATACTTTTTACCATTCCAGTTTTTTGTTCTTCCCGATGTGATTTTTGGATTCATCATATAAAATTGAGTCTAGAAATGTTGTCTAGAGTTTCATTGCATATTACATGCTCACTCTAAAAAATCTACGATTCAGTGTCTCTGTCGATGGTAGTACCTAATTTTGCAAACCTATCTAATTTTTTCTGGTAAGTCATAGAACCCTCATTCTTATGTCATTCGTACCGCCATGTAATGCGCAACAAAAATATGGATCGCGTTTTTTTAAAAATTCTTTTTCATTGTTGAGAAAACTCATTTTTTCTAAATATTAGGCGAAAATATCAGAATTCGGCCCGTAATCCTCAACTTTTTCAATCAAGTCTTAATTTATATGTAATAAAAACATCATATTCGGGATCAGCACGAAAAACTGAGTTGAATAAACTATCTCTCAAGTTAATTTGACAACTTTCATTTTTTGGCGCTTTTTGACGTTTATATCTAAACCGTGGTCGTCTAACTTATATTCGAAAAAATGCGGAAAAATGAAAGTTGTCAAATTAACTTGAGAGATAGTTTATTCAACTCAGTTTTTTGTGCTGATCCCGAATATGATGTTTTTATTACAAATAAATTAAGATTTGATTGAAAAAGTTGAGGATTACGGGCCGAATTCTGATATTTTCGCCAAAAATATTTAGAAAAAATGAGTTTTCTCAACAATGAAAAAGAATTTTTAAAAAAACGCGATCCATATTTTTGTTGCGCATTACATGGCGGTACGAATGACATAAGAATGAGGGTTCTATGACTTACCAGAAAAAATTAGATAGGTTTGCAAAATTAGGTACTACCATCGACAGAGACACTGAATCGTAGATTTTTTAGAGTGAGCATGTAATATGCAATGAAACTCTAGACAACATTTCTAGACTCAATTTTATATGATGAATCCAAAAATCACATCGGGAAGAACAAAAAACTGGAATGGTAAAAAGTATCAGGGTGTTTTTTCAGAAGAAGGTGTTTTTTGAAGATTTTGACACTTGCTTAGTATTTTGCATTTTTCTCAAGAAAAATTTTGTCAAATCAAAAGAATAAGGTCATATTCGT